TTAACATCATTAGAAATGAGATATGGCAAGGTTGTATTCCTGGCCTTTTGGCTGATGTAATTGCCGCTGAGGCTGATCTGTGATTTCTATGAAATCTGATTATCTCTAAAAAAAAATTTGGGGAAAGAAAAACAAAAAAATGGAAAACGAGAGGGAGAGGGAGAGGGAATTAAATGCCCCCAACCACCTCTAAACCGAACAACTCTCTCTCTCTCTTTGTTTTTCTTTGTTTTTCTTCACTTTCAAAGGAAGAGACGCCGTCGCTGCAGCCCAACAGTAATTTCCGATGAGCCTTGTCCACGGTCCAGGATGCTGATCGACGAAAATGGTGAGTTGGACGATCAACGAGCTTCTCCACTGAAGAAGGATAAGTCGATCGTCCAAAATAGTGAAGAAGAAACCTATCCTACACCATATGAGTTTGTTGATGAAGATTCAGGTGGTGCTCCTGCCCTCGAAGAAGAAGGTTGATTGAGTGTATATATAAATATATATGGTGCCTTCTACGGTACCCCGGGTGAAATCCGGGGTACCGCATACCTTAAGTACGAAAACATTATCTACACCTCGAATTAGCAGGATTTTTGGGCATGATACTATACTCTAACCCTTAATCAGTGAACCCTAGGTTCTAATTATCTAAATCATAAACTATAAACCCTAAGATGGTGCATTGATTTTTTTTGCTTATATTTGGACGAATCATAACCGTAGATTATTGTTTCTAATTAAATTGATCTTGGAGTATAAGATTTAGAGAATTAAGACCTAGATTTTGATCTTTAAGGGTTAGAGTATAGTATCATGTCCGAAAGATCAATCAATTCAAGTTCTGGATAGCGTTTTCTTACGCCTGGTATGCGGTACCCGGATTTCACCCTGGATACCGTAGAACTCCCCATATATACCATATGGTATATATATGGCAAAGGCTAGCGTACGTCCGGGCTTATGCTAGCCTACCTTACGCCCCATTGAGTTTTGCTATTTAGACAAAGAATTAATCGGAGTTTGGGACATGATACTATACCCTAACCCCTAATGGGTGAATCTCAATCCCCAATTCACTAACCCAAAGCATGAGATTCGTTTAATCTTAAAAATGAAAATCAACGATTCTGGTTCGTCGAAATTTTCATTGGTTTTCATTTTAAGATTAAACGAACCTCATGGTCTGGGTTAGAAAATTAGGGACTAGGGTTCACCCATTAGAGGTTAGGGTATAGTATCATGCCCCAAACTCCGATTAATTCATGATCTATATAGCAAAACTCAATGGGGCGTATTCATGATCTATACAGCAAAACTCAATGAGGCGTATTTGAGGGTCACTCATGGTTGGAATATTTGAAGAAATTTCGTCATCAACAGTGTTCCTTATGGTTTAGAGATCAATTCACAGCCGGGATGTTGACTACGCAAGCCAGCGAGTCGTGCAATGCACAAGTGCGACTTTTCTTGAAACCGAGTCGTGCAATGCACATGTTTTTCATTCACTTTAGCATGTACATACGCAGTATATTTTTTGCCTTTCTTTGATATTAGCTTGTCAGTTCTGGATATTATTCTTTATATGAATATTAATATGCTTTTGTTAAATATTATTTTGTGTTGCTCGGATATGTGTACTAGTCTGAGTGGATATTAGTCTGGGCACTAATCTCTTTTCTCGTGCTTTCTAAATGTAGTTTGTTGGCTGAAAAAAGACGCGAGGAGACTGATTCGGGCTAAAATGGGAAACAATCGGTTCCCTATATAATGTTGGAGCACTGCACGATCCTACAACATGCGGCAAAGATCTTTACTTCTAACATCTTCAATCGGATACATGAGCAGTATTTGAAAACTGAATCCTATCTAATGGAAACGCTCTCAGATACTAGGGATGATGGCATGATTGGCTACCGCACATATATGATAGAGGATGGTGAGCGTAGTGATGAGCGTGTCGTTCTCGTCGATATTTCTACGAGGACATTGGTATGCGAATGCAGGATGTTCATAACTTTCGAGAGTGTTATGCCGCCACATGATTAAGGTGATGCGGCTTCTGAGAGATTTTGGGGAAGCCGGTATGAGAAGTATTCCAGATCATTACATACTCAAGCGATGGACGTTGGAGGCGAGAAAGAAAGAGGTTGTTGATGTTAATGGTTCTATTGGTCCTTCAGCTGCTAGTGAGAATGATGCGGGAAAAGGTATAGCAATGCGGTACTGAGAAACCACTGCAATGTTGAATCAGCTAGCAACGAACATGTCAATGCCCGATGAGAAAGACTACAATAAGTGGATGGGAGTACTCAAGAAACTGTGCAATGAGACAAACAAGACATTGTGAAAGACTATAACTAGCGAAGACAGTAAGTGTATTCACTAATATCATTTGTAAATTGTTAGAGTTTAATATCATTGCATTTACTAAGTTCTCTAACATTGTAGGACAGAATAAACCGATAACTGGGATGACTTTGAAGGAGAAGAGTAATCCAAGGAGCCAAGGTAAGGAACCTTATCAGTATACGAATGAAAAGGAACGCCATTGAAATAAACATGCCTATAAGAAAAGAATGAAATCAGTTGAAGTGGTCACGCCGGACAACAATACTCAACCGGATGACCATCTTAGTGATGGGGATGATAATATTACTCATGGTTATGAGTAAAATGCAGGGTGATTCGAGAGTGGTCTATTGTGATATGATATTGACATGTGATTCCATTATACTTTTTTGTTATGATGTGAATATTAATCCACTTGTAAAAGATACGTGTCCGGGCAAATTGGATATGTAGTCTAATATGTACAGATATTAGTCTGGGCTTCCTAGATATCAGTATTTTCAAAGCAGGTTTAATAGTAGCAATGATTACTTCTTTCACTATGCACATGTGACCTTTTTTGTTACTGTACTCATGTGACGTTTTTTGTTTCTATTCTCTAAGGACATGTTAGAGTACTTCCCTACGAGCATTTGTCTATTTAAGACAAATCATACACAAACCCAAATCAGCTATCCTCCTCCCTCAGTTTCTTATTCACTTCTCTTCCAAAGCAAAATCCATGTCTGGAGAGATTCCTAAACCAGCGCGTCGGGGATTGATGGATGAGTTCGAAAATGATGGTGCTATACTCTGTTACCATGGTTGGAGAGCCGCTAGACGACTTGTTGTTGATGGATTCAACCCACCGAAGAGGTATTTCCGATGTCTGATGTACGAGTACTACAATCATAAGGGGTGTGGTTTTCACATGGATTGAGACGAAGTAATGTTCCTCGCTTTTTTAGAGTCGGATGATGAAGATAACACCGATGAGACAGTGAATAAATGAATCAGTATTTCCTGTCATCACTTTGTATTGTGTTGAGTTTTTTTTTATTTTTGATTCAAAGTGTTATCCATCTTTATCTACTATTAGTCTGGGCTCCAAGGATCTTTCAGATATCGGTCTGGGCCTTAAGGACATTAGTCTGGGCTCTATTGATATTAGTCTGGATCTTTCAGATATCAGTCTGGGTCTTTCAGATATTAGTATATGATTTGCTGATATTTGTACAAATAAAAAAGGTATTTGTCGTGGCTGTAAGGATATTTGTCTGTGCTTTAAGGATATTATTCTACCAAAAGACATATATTTACCTGGGAGGTTACAATATATTTTTCAATCAGAACTTATGTTGGTGACTATATCCAACATCTGGCAAAATATCCTCCATCCTACTGCAACCATCATCCATCCCTAAATATTATCCAATCCTAAGTTCAGTTTTACAAACCAATATCACACTACACAAGTCTAAAATCAACTTCTCTTCCTTTACCTTTTTCTTTCTCTTTCTTTGTATTCCAATCTTTTGCACCTTGAATTATTTCATCGGTGTGGAGGTTATAGTCCCATAAAATGAGGTTGACTGCAATCTGTGCTCGCTGTTCCTCCACATGTGGCTGCTTGTGCCAACTTGCTTTATATTCCACTGGAAGGTGACTCGCTCATTGCTCCATGTAAAGGCATGCAAATACACTGCAATCATCGTTGCCTACTTGCTGAGGAACATCGGCAATGTTGAATGGCCACTTATCCAATGCACAATCGACCCCCTGCTCTTTGAGGAACGCTGCCGCATACCCAAAAATCATTTTAACAATCGGTCCATGATCCTTCTTAGTCACTTGGGCATTGGGCTTTATGTTGTCAAGTAAGAAAGTCTTCTTATTCTTCATGTCTGCCACGTACACCCGGTAGTGATCATTTAGATACATTGGAAAAAAGATCTGAAACACAAAGCAGTTAGTGAGTTAATTATTGACTAATATCCTAATAACCCAGATTAATATCTCAACAAACCAGTATAATATCCTATAAACCCATACCAATATCAAGGAAAATCAGGAAAAGAGTCCAAACATTGAAGACACTTACGTAATCACATCTTTCCAAGTTTTCCGGTTTCAGAATTGGATTCCTTTTGTGCATAGAAATAATATACGCAGAGAGTTTCGCCTTGTTCATGGGTTGTTTTTTACAGCATTAGTGACGACATGTTGCTATTTAGAAGAGACAAAAATATCAAATTAGACATTTTCAATATAAATGAAATCTAAGTAGTGAAGATAATACTTACTACATAGCACCATGGAAAGACAATTCTCTTCACCACCTTCTTGCTTACTTCTTTGTTATTTAGAAATAGTCTGTATACTACAAGTACTGGGCTATGCAGCCAATTTTTATCCTTCAATGAAAGTAGTTGGGAACAGGTAAGGTTACCGGTTGGAGTATCCACGACAAATTTGCCACTGTAACACACAAATGAAAACCAGATTTGAAATGTGTCTTGGACAAATTGAAATTGGTGATTAAATAACTCCTCAGTCAACTTACTTGTCTTTAGCCAAGGTGCTGAAGATGAACTCAACCACTTGCAGAGTCGTTTCGTCGACAGAGTCTTTGGCAGAACGTACACTGATTCGCCGAATGGGTGGTGTTTAGACCTATCGAACTATGGAGTTTTTAGGGTTTCCTTCCATGCTTCCGGTGTGATAGAGTTCAAATACTCTGCATCCTCCTCAGTCTTAATTCTCTCAGAGATAATAATATCATCGTCGCTATCCTCCATCCTCTCACATGTTGCTGCTATAAGCTCCTCCTCGGATGGTCCTGCTTCTCCTTGCGTCAGAACTTCAGTAGAATGATCGACCACCATAGTCGGAGATGTTGTGATACTCTCCTGAGCAGCAGTAGTTGACTCGACAGGTATCTGCAAAACATTGCCAAAATCTAGTATCTACTGAAAAAGAACAAATATCCTTGCAGCCCAGGCTAGTATCCATAGAAAAAGAAACAAATATCTATGAAGCTCATGCTAGTATCCACAGAAACAGAAACAAATATCCTAGCAGTCCGGGCTAGTATCTACTACTGGTAGGGAAATATTACCATAGTCGGAGATGTCCCGATACTCTCTTCAGTAGCACCAGTGGCCTGGAAACCAATCTGCATCACATTAGCGAATGTTGTATCCGGGTCAGTATAATGTATGACCATTGACTCTGACTCCACCACTTGATCAAAAGTCGATACAATGGCCAGCGACTACATCTACTGAACTACCGGATCAAACACAATGACCGGCTCAAGAAATGACTCCGACACCACCACTTCCTCACCAGTCGACTTACCGACTAACTCAACTATGTCATCACCTAATGTAACGACTGATACCTCCAACTCCTGAACAATTGACAAAACTGTCTTCTTACGTCCTTTCCTGGAGTACACGCGGCTTAACATGCTGTTGTCTCTCACAGTACATTGACTAACCTCCTCCTCCATGACAACTACCGGATCTTCCTCCTCCATGACAACTATCTCCTCTTCCATTTTTGTTTTTGTTGCGTCTACCAAAGACGAAGAAAATACTGTCAATCTACCCCGATTCCTATGAAGCTCAGCCCCCACAAAATCGAGCTGGAAAACGGGTGCAAGCATATAAAAGTTATTATCCAGACTGCCCAGATAAGTATCCAACAATTAAGCAACGAATATCCAGCAGAACACAAATTAATATCCGCTTGTGAAAGATTTAATATCCTGAAGTTTTGTACTAGTATCCAGAAAGCCAAAATACTATCTACTTATGTAGTAACTAGGTTTTAAGGAACTATTAACCTGTGCTTTCATTCCAATATCCATAATGCAAAATATCCATATTGAAATTAACTACTACCCGTTATAAAAACAACTGTCATTCATGCAATTTATAAATAATATCTAAAACAAATATACACCAATATCCAAAATCAACAGAAAACAAACTTTTGTTGGATACAACTATTGTTCAAAGCCATTCCAACATGGTAATTATAGCATTCTATCAAGAAAGAAATTTTAACATGGCAATTATATCATCCTATAAAGAAACATTACAACCCCTTAATGATGTTGAAACATGCAAAATTCAATTCTTGTCTTGCTGGCACTTTATGGCAACTCTTCGGACACTTTCTCGCCATGAATCCCACTTATGCATCACTTTTTCAGTCAAGGACTATAGTGCCTTAAGCTACACATAAATCCCAAAAAATTTAGTTTACTATATACAACTATTGTTCAAACCCACGATTTTCAGTTTAAAAGACAATCATCTAAAGTGATGCATAAGTGGGATTTATGGTGGGAAAGTGTCAGAATGGTAGCCATTAAACACCAGCAAGACAAGAATTGAATTTTGCATGTTTCAACATCATTAAAGGGTTGTAATGTTTCTTTATAGGATGATATAATTGCCATGTTGAAATGGCTTTCTTGATAGAATGCTATAATTGTTATGTTGGAATGACTTTGAACAATAGTTGTATCGAACAAAAGTTTGTTTTCTGTTGATTTTGGATATTGTTGTGTAGTTGTTTTGGATATTATTTATGAATTGCATGAATGACAATTGTTTTTATGACGGGTAGTAGTTATTTTCAATCTGGATATTTTTGCATTATGGATATTGGAATGAAAACATAGGTTAATAGTTCCTTAAAGCCTAGTTACTACATAAGTAGATAGTATTTTGGGCTTTCTGGATACTAGTACAAAACTTCAGGATATTAAATCTTTCACAAGCGGATATTAATTTGTGTTCTTCTGGATATTCGTTGCTTAATTGTTAGATACTTATCTGGGCAGTCCGGATAATAACTTTTATATGCTTGCAACCGATTTCCAGCTTGACTTTGTGGGTGCTGAGCTTGACAGGAATTGGGGCAGATTGACAGTATTTTCTTCGTCTTTGGTAGCAGCAGCAAAAGCAAAAACGGAAGAGGAGGTAGTTGTCATGGAGGAGGAAGATCTGGTAGTTGTCATGGAGGAGGTTAGTCAAGGTACTGTGAGAGACAACAACATGTTTAGCCGCGTGTACTCCAAGAAAGGACGCAAGAAGACAGTGTTGCCAGTTGTTCAGAAGTTGGAGGTGCCAGCTATTACATCAACAAGTGATGACATGTTTGAGTTAGTCGATAAGTTGACTGTTGGGGAAGTGGTGGAGTGGGAGTCATTTCTTGAGCCGGCCATTGTGTTTGATCCGGTAGTTCAGCAGATGGAGTCGCCGGCCATTGTGTCGACTTTTGATCAAGTGGTGGAGTCAGAGTCAATGGTCATACATTATACCGACCCGGATACGACATTCGCTGATATGATGCAGATTGATTTCCAGGCCACTGCTACTGCTAAAAAGAGTATCGGGACATCTCCGACTATGGTAATATTTTCCTTACCAGTAGATACTAGCCTGGACTGCCATGATATTTGTTTCTTTTTCTGTGGATACTAGTATGAACTTCCTGGATATTTGTTTCTTTTTCTATGGATACTATCCTAGGCCGCCAGGATATTTGTTTCTTTTTTAGAAGATACTAGCTTTTGGCAATGTTTTGCATATACCTGTCAAGTCAACTGTTGCTACTCAGGAGAGTATCACAACATATCCGACTACGGTGGTCGATCATTCTACTGAGGTTCTGACGCAAGGAGAAGCAGGACCATCCGAGGAGGAGCTTATAGCAGCAGCTTGTGAGAGGATGGAGGATAGCGACGATGATATTATCATCTCTGAGAGAATTAGGACTAAGGAGGAGGCATAGTATTTGTACTCTATCACACCGGAAGCATGGAAGACAGCCCTAAAAACTCCAGAGCCGATAGGTCTAAACACCACCCATTCGGCGAATCAGTGTACGTTTTGCCAAAGACTCTGTCGACGAAACTCGACGATACGGCTCTGCAAGTGGTTGAGTTCATCTTCAGCACCACTGCTAAAGATGAGTAAGTTGGCTAGGAGTTATTTAATCACCAATTTCAATTTGTCCAACACACATTTCTAACCTGGTTTTCATTTGTGTCTTACAGTGGCATATTTGTCGTGGATACTCCAACCGGTAACTTTACCCGTTCCCAACTACTTTCATTGAAGGGTAAAAATTGGTTGCATAGTCAAGTACTTGTAGTATACGGGCTATTCCTAAATAACAAAGAAGTACGCAAGGAGGTGGTGAAGAGAATTGTCTTCCCATGGAGCTATGTAGTAAGTATTATCTTCACTACTTAGATCCTCTTTATATTGAAAATGTCTAATTTGATATTGTTGTCTCTTCTAAATAGCAACATGACGTCACTAATGCTGTCAAAAAACAACTCATGGACAAGGCGAGACTCCCTGCGTATATTTCTATGCACAAAAGTTATCCAATCTTAAATGGAAAAACTTGGAAAGATGTGTTTACGTAAGTGTCTTCAATGTTTGGATTTTTTTTTCCTGATTTTCCTTTATATTGGTCTGGGTTTATAGGATATTATTCTGGTTTGTTGAGATATTAATCTGGGTTATTAGGATATTGGTCAATGATTAACTCACTAACTGCTTTGTGTTTCAGATCTTTTTTCCAATGTATCTAAATGATCACTACCGGGTATACATGGTTGACATGAAGAATAAGAAAACTTTCTTACTCGGCTGCATAAAGCCGAATACCCGAGTGGCTAAGGAGGATCATGAACCGATTGGGAAAATAATTTTTAAGTATGCAGCAGCGTTCCTCAAAAAGCAGGGGGTCGATTGAGCATTGGATGAGTGGTCATTCAACATTGCCGACGTTCCTCAGCAAGTAGGCAACGATGATTACGGTGTATTTGCATGTCTTTACATGGAGCAATGGACGGGTCACCTTCCAGTGGAATATAAAGCAAGTTGGCACAAGGAGCCACATGTGGAGGAACAACGAGCTCGGATTGCAGCCAACCTCATTTTATGGGACTATAACTGCCGGACCGATGAAATAATTCAAGGTGCAAAAGATTGGAATACGAAGAAAGAGGGGAAAAAAGGAAAAGGAAGAGAAGTTGATTTTAGACTTGTGTACTGTGATATTGGTTTGTAAAACTGAACTTAGGATTGGATAATATTTAGGGGTGGATAATATTTAGGGGTGGATAATGGTTTGTAGCAGATGTTGTATATAATTACCAACATAAGTTCTGATTGAAAAATATATTGTAACCTCCCAGATAAATATCTGTCTTTTGGTATACTAACATCCTTAAAGCACAGACAAATACCTTTTTTATTTGGACAAATATCAGCAAATCACATACTAATATCCGGAAGACCCAGACAGATATCTGAAAGACCCAGACTAATATCAATAGAGCCTAGACTAATGTCCTTAAAGCCCAGACCGATACCCTTCTTTTCGTAGACTAATAGTTTGTAGCAGGATGTAGGATATTTTGTCAGATTTATGATATAATTACCAACCTAATCACACAACAAAGCTCTAAAACCGTTACTGGTTCAGAAAATAATTAAATGGAAAAGGATCAGAAGTATATAGCTTACATGTTTGATTTGCAACCCAACTGCTTTTGTGGAAGAATAACCTGCACTGAGTGAGAGTCATTGGTGTTGGGAATTGGGTGGCTCATGATGGCAATTGCCCTGCAACTTTCCCGACCTTTCTAACCTGTTCATATCCAGATAGATTTCAGTAAATACTAAAGTGGAAATACAAGTCCAAAGCAAAAAAAGCTATACATGTCCATACTCATTAGCCCCGAAGAAATATGTTACCTGTCCTGGCAAGTAGGATGAATCACAAACCACTTTCTTACACTTGGCAGTTTCTCCTTCTGAGGTGACGCAATAACTTTGCCTTCACCATCAAACTCTACCCGAAACACCAAAGCCATCAAGTCAGATTTGCCAATGGGAGGAAAGGTCCAGGTAGCATTTTGCTATCTAAGTTTAGGTCACAGAGCCAAACTCATGATTGAGTACCTTGCATTCAGGTTTGTTCAACATATATGTACCACCATAGACTGCACTCAGCCGTGCAAATGCCTGACATGATATTTTTAGAAAGGTCAGCTCGAGTTAGATTGAGAGGTCTTGGCTTCTTACTGTAAGTAAAAGCAAAGCAGCAAAAGAAGGGGAGAGAAGGGAAAACAAAAATGAGAGTGACTGGATTAGTGTGAACCTGCGACAAATCTCCCAATTCATATAAGGGGTAAATATAAGGGGATCCGCCTTGAAAACGAGCAAGAGACTCGGCATACAGCTGGAACAAGTGAGGATGTTATCACTTAATGCATAACAAATAGGGTTAATATCCTAGTTTGACCCGAAGTTTAGCGTAAGTGATAGTTCTAACCCCATTTTTCAAATAAGACATTTATGGCCTACTTCTGAAATTATTGGACAAATTTGGCCCGACGTTTAAGTTGACCGTTAAAACTGACAGTCAAAAACTTATTCTGTCAGTGACTCAACATTTAGTGTTGAGTTGGCAACGACATGGCGTCCACATCATTTTCACATAACTTATTTATGTTACAATATCTAAATAAAATATGAAAATAAAAAATAAAACACAGAGGGATGAAATACCTAATTTACTTACATCCCTTCTATCTTGCCATCTCACTCTCCTCCATCTGTAACCAGAGACGATGAAGGCAGAGGGTGAAATCCCTAATTCACCTCCACCACTCGCTGCCGGCCAACTCTATCCTCCTGCCGGTCCCCAATTAATCCACCTTCTTCCAACTAACTTCCCTTCTCCTACCCATTTAAAACTTCCTAGGCGCTAGATCTAGCTTTTTTGTTGAACCGATGAAGCTTCTTTGGAAACGTCTCCAGCTGGCCAAGAGAGGGCGGAGGGACCCATTTTTCTTGCATCGGACTCGCCCGCTGGCTGGCAAAGATCTGAAGCAGAGAGCGGCGAGTCTCGTTCTTCTTGTCTTGGACTCGCCGACTAGCTGGGGAAAGATTAGAAGCAGAGATTGGCGGCGGCTATTCATCGAAAGCAGAGACGAGCAGGGCGGCGGCTGATTGTTGGGGAGAAATAAAGGAAAGAGACAGGGTTGGGTTCTTCTCTTCATAAGCAGAGGCGAGAAACTGGTGGGTTTCGCAACGTATGGGATTCGAACGGGGAGGAGTTCACCGGCTGGGGTGGGTCGCCCGCCGATCAAGCTCCCGAGGATTTTCTCGTGGAAGTAGAGTAGCATCCGGTGCCAGGGGAAGAAGATCTAGGTCGTGTGCCAAACGGGGAGAGTGAAGAAGACGACCTTTTCGTTCTCTTCACATTTTTATTTTTTATTTCATTTTGATGTTATTTTTTTAATTTTTAATTTTCGTGAAAATGACGTGGCAACCATGTCGTTGCCATTTCAGCAGTTTTTGTTGAGTCATTAACAGTGAGAATATTTGACCATCAGTTTTAACAGTCAACCCAAATATCGTGCCAAATTTGTCCAATAATTTCAAAAGTAGGTCATAAATGTCTTATTTGAAAAATGAGGACAGAACAATCACTTACACTAAACTTTGGGTCAAATTAGGATATTAACCCTAAAAAATAAGAAAATATACAAAATAGAACTTAAGTTGAATGACCACCAGAAACCCAGAAAGCTATACCTTCATTCTCTTCACTGTATCTATAGCAGGTTCATTAAGATATCGATCGTCTCTATGCAGCGCCAAGGAATGACCAATGAATCCTATGGTATCTCTTAAAAAATATTAAAGCATTTTCAAATTTCCACCACATCCACGTAAGCCTTCCTCAACGCACAACTATCCACGTCATCCCTTTAAAAGCTTCCTTCTCTCTCTTCCTCGAGAAAACCAGCCCTCCTACCTTTTCCCCTTAAATCTATTGCAGTCGTTTCTTCTTCCCAAATCTACAACCTTCCACGACCCTTACTCCACCCCGCTGTTCTATCTTCTAACTTTTTATTCAAAAAACCCAATAACTAACTCATCCAACCCTTCAATTTCACCGAGAATGATCTTGGCAAAGGCGCTCAGATTGTTCGCTAACCGCATGCAGAACGAATGGATGGCGAGTGGCGACAATGAAATGACAAAGGATCAACAATAGAGCATGCGTCGACAAAGGCAAAGGAGGGAGATATTGCGATTCAGAGAAATAAAATCAGACGATGGAGATACTCTCACCGGAAAGGGTTCCAGCGAACCATTTCTTGGTGGAAATACTCACCGAAATCAGAATGGTGTATGTACAAAACAAAGGACGCAGCGACGTTGAAGGGCGGCGGTGGATTGATCAATTACAGTGCCATAAGATTCAAAGACACCCTCTGAGAAGGATATCTGATATGCACTTCCCATGTACAAGGTTATTGGTTCCCTCTAATAAAGCTATAAAACTTCCCCTAATCAGAGCATAACCGACATAATTCAATCTGCAGTAGTTAGTAGTGGCTTTCCTCATTGTGACGAAATGGGTTACTTATGCTGCATAAGTTATGCCTGCCTTCTGCCCAATTTTTCTGTTTCCACCAGAGGCAGTAGTTGTTCTCATATTTCAAATTGTATTCCATTAGGACTTACTGTATTTTGATAAATAAAACCATGTTTGATTAGGTAGTTAGTTGTTTTACATATTAACTTCAGTTGAATGCATGATGTTCGATCGATCATGCTAATCAAGTGGAGCCACATGACATCAATAACCTGAGAAGCTTCTCAATCCTTTAGTTGAACTCCATCACCCATACTCAAAGGTTCAAAGCTAATGAAGAAGGAACCAAGACTTTGTTGACAGCAAGATTCTGCGCGCACACTTCTTCCACAAAAATAAACTCCATCATAGATTGCCTTTCTACGCTACTTTAGTGTTTATGAACTTAAGACGTTTCATATGATTTTTGTGTTTAGGGTCTACCATTTTTTCCCCTAATGATCTGACATACACTAGGCCCTTTTACACTGATCCACTTCGATATTGTTGGTTCCTCCTCTATGAATCCTATCTTACCTGATGTAGTATATATATTGCACGATAGTGAGAGTTTGTAGTGATTGATAGTTTAGATATTCATATATGAGAAAGAAGGTTGGCAAAATAATGAACATGAATAGCAATACCAGCCAAAAGTCGAGCTCAAAGTTGGACGAGAATAAAAAATAAAGTCATTGTAATAAAAATTTCACGAATTTCAGGAATAAAAAAATAAATAGAATCACGATCCAAAATAGTGGAGAAGAGTTTTTAGAGCCTTTACATAAAAATAAATAAAAAACTCGCCCGCCCAAAGGGCGGGTACAAAGCTAGTTATCATCAAGACCATATTTCCTGGCAACATCCCAAACAGCCAATAAAGAAGGAGGACACTAATGTATTTGGCAACATAAGTCGGGATAAGTATCACACTGTAACTAAATGAAAGAAAAGTCCATGGCTCTATTCAAAAACTATTTTCCTCCTTCTATCATAAGTGAAGTTAAAGTATATTCCATAACATATTACTAAACCTCCAAAGAAAACTAATTTCCTTGTATCCACTTAAAGTTTCAGCTAATTTAGTATGCTTTCAACCATTAGACCACAACTAACAAGCATCAAAAGCAGCATTTACTGGATCATGCAAATGCTTTCACTCTTTCTCCCTCTCTCTCATCAGAGTGCAAGGAACAACATACGCAATCAATTCTTTGGTGGTCACTGATATGAATCCAAATGGCCAAACTCTACGTATTTTTATTACTTGCCAAAGAAACTATCAAGAATGGAAAGAAAAGAGGCAGAATTTGGTCAAGAAGTGGTTGACTAGAAATAGGAATCAAATGAAAGATGTGAGAATGAAACTGATGCTTACCTTTTTTCCTAGACACACACTATTTCCACCATAGCTTGGGTCAAAGTCAGTGTCCTCTGGATCGTCTTCTACAATAAGCAAATAAAAATATCATTTCAGCCCAAGCTCCGAACGTATCAGCTTTTCCACAAACACTATGCAAACAGAGTTATAATCAAGCAGATGTTTTGTGACAACCCAGTTACGAGAGAATGGAAGCAGTTACCATCTTCTTCCTCGCAATCAGCATCATCGTCATTGTCGTCAACTCTATTATTCCGCAGAGCACTTGAACTCCTAGACAAATGATTATCAACTGGCGCAGGCTTTGACTGTAGCCTAGAATTCAATCCGGCTGAATTGCTAAATCCCTTGTAATGACCCAAATCAGTTGGATCTTCCCCATCCTGCTCGTAATATTCATCCGACAACATCTCATCGACAGGAACATCAGAATGTCCCTTCAAAACTTTATGTGATTCTTTGGCCTCTTCTTCATACTCTGATCCTAATCTGTCATCTTCACCATCTGATACATTATCTTCTGAAACCTCAACATGCTTGAAGTCCGATTTTGAGTCCTACCCCGAATCAGATGCGCCCTGCATGCCCATAGGTCGGCAATCTTTCCAAAAACTTGAGCCCCATTTCCCAGAGACATTTCTCTTTACAGAAGAAGGCTGAAAATGTGAATTACTTGCACCAGATTCATGGTCAGGAACTCCATCATTCTGCATCCTACTCTCCCCTAGTTCAGTCTCACTTTCGTACCGTGGATCCATGTTCATATCGAATTCTCTTTCACTAAAAAGACCCATCAACATCCTCGCTTCCAACCATTCTACCAGGATTATGAACCTTTCCTTCAGCTGCCCTGTTTGTGATTGTTTCAGATGAATAGTTCCTAAAGAGGGCCATTGTCTACCATGGATTCGATATGATTATAACTACCACACGTAAATTGCACTATCTTGAAGAGCCAAAACCTAAACATGAAATAAAAGAGTAAGTGGCTTCAGTTAGAAGGCAATGAATGAACAGAAGTGCAAGATGAACTACGTTTACTTCTTAGTTAGAAGGTATATAGAACATTATGTTCGCAATAGCTTCAGATAAGAAGGGAACTGGCAAGAGAAAGAGAGACCCTGAGGACAAATGAACGAAGATCACTTTAATTTCATACTCGAAGTACTTTGTCGCAGCAGGCGCATAAAATGAAAGTTTGACTTTCTGAGATCAGAATCAACAGCAGCAAAGTAGTCAAATCACATAAAATAAGTGCTTGAGAAATGGAAACGAACTGAGCAAGCACGAGAACTACTGTACTTCATACTGTCGACTGAATTTAGCGCAAAATTCAATCCCTACGTAAATTGTATTGATGCCAGGGGAGAAAAGGCTCGCTAACGTATCACACAGAGGATGAAATCACGTCAAACACAGCCAGCTGCAGATCCACTAGCTAACAAGCAATTTCAATTGACACAAACACCACAAACACCTGAGGACTCCCAAAACCCAATCCAGAAACCCTAATGTCGCCAAACGGACACCAAATTCGGAACCGGAAACCCTTTTTTGACGACAATGGGCAGAAAATGCAAACTGATGATTGAGCGCGAGGCTGGCATTCCTCGCACGACGGAAGTAGACTACGGCGTCCTAATTAGGTCACAGTGCTCGAAGGAAAACGAGAGAGCAGTTTGATGATAAAAGAAGAGGAGAGAGAGATTGCTTCTCTCTTTCTTTTACATTTTTAGTTAAATTGATGTATTGTCACCTATTCATGTATAATATTCAGGGTTCAAGAAGGCGCGCCTAGGCGCACGCCTAGGCTCAATTAGGCACTAGGCGGTGGAGGATCGTCTTGACTTGACCATAGGCGTTGTAAAAGGCGCTGGTAGCGCTTAGTAGGTAGGAATAACGCTTAGTTTGTGCCTAGTGGAGAGAAGGCGTGCCTGGGCGTTCCTGGGCGAGCTTAGGCGGTTAAACCCAATACTATTCGTTTTGTCATAGAAAATCAGAAAATTGCATCTTGCCCTAGAAAATCAGAAACACGGGAAGGGGATGACCATGCTATGTATGTATTCATAGATGAGGATGAGGAATCATATTGTGCACCCTCGAGTACTGTTACAGATGCAATGGCGGGTGAACAGAGTGAGCTTCGCAGGAGTGCACGAGTGAGAGAGCTCCATGATGAAGAATTAGAGTCTGAAGAGGAGGAGGATGGTGAGGAGAGTGCTTTTGAGGATGATGAAGATGAAGTGGTGGCTGGACGGACCTACTTGGATGATGAAAAATGAACATTTTCCTATGAACTTATTGACTATTGTTTAGTATTTCCGACATTTTATGAACTTGTGATTCTAGGAAGTGGTCACTATTTGCTTGTTATTTGTTATGTTAAGTGTTTACTGTTAAGAACTAGACATTGCTAATTTTATATGCACTTGGATTATATGAATTATTCCAAAAAACATGAAATATTTGAGAACTTTTTCCATTTATGCTCTGAACACCTAGGCGCGCCTAGGCTACGCCTAATCAGACAAGGCGCAAGTCAGGAGCCGAGCGCCTGCCTTACGCCTAGCGCCTTTTAGAACCTTGATAATATTATACATGTATATAAAAAAAAATTGGCGTATTATAGTTTATATTGTTTGGTTTACATGATAGTTATTGTAGTATTAAATAAGTTATATTATTTTTTGAGTGTGTTGCTTTTTTAAAAAGGTATGGACATAGTTGGAAGAAGGAAAAAAGCTCAACAATCACAATCAAACAATAATCTCACCAAAAATATGAGATTTAACTATCACTCATTTTCGAGTGATAGTTTTTATCATTTCAAGCAAACAATGCATGTATTGTTTGTGCAAAAAACTCAAAAAAATAATGTATTATAGACTGCATGTATTGTAACTATCCAAACCAAACAATTACCAAAACCAAATGACCCCACATGTCTCCTTTGGGGATTTAAATTAAGACAGAAATAGCATTGTTTAAAAAAAATCCAAAAATAGCACTCTACCCCGAAAAATTCCAAAAATAGCACCCTTCACGAAAACAACACAGGTAGGGGGTGGTTTTGATGAGCGCGTGTGGTCGGGGCGGTTTGGTTGCAAACCGCACCCCACCCGGCGGTTTGTATTATATATATTTTTTTCGAATAAATGTCATAAGTGGTCTTGTCCCTTTGGCCCGCTGCCTCCCTTTACCCTGTCGCCGGACCTCGCAACCCCTGCCGCCTCCCTTTCCCCCGCTACCGACTTCGAATCCTTTCCCCCCGCCGCCTGCCTTTTCCCCTGTCACCTCCTCCTCTCGATTCCCGTCGCCTCCCTTTCCTCCCGCCACCTCCTCTAGATTCCCCGCCGCCGACTGCGAATCCTTTCCCCCCATCGCCGCCTCCTCTCTTTTCTGGTTTTTAGTTCTAATAGTAGTAACTGAACGCGTTTTTGTTTCTTGTTGTCTGCTTTCATTATTTTTCAGATTATCAACTAAACAGGTTTGTGTTTTCTATTTTTTTCCTGTTGTGGTTGTACATCTGTTTACACAACACCACTGCAACCACAACAACAACAAATCGATACTAAACGGGGTCTTAGGCTCAAAATTGGGTTAAAACCCAGAATTTCCCGATCACACGGCCAGGCCACACGGCCGTGTGGCTTTCCAGTCTTCCCGTGTGGATGTGAAAACGCCGTGTTTCGATTAAGTGTTCTTCAGGCACGCTGCACGGCCAGAAGCGCACGGCCGTGTAGATTCTCAGCCTGACCGTGTGAGCTCCCTAGAATTTCCACACGGCCACAAGGGATCCAATACACGGCCAGTGTGGCTTGGCCGCGTAATGGAATTCCACACGGCCACACCACACGGCCGTGTGGCTGCTAGGTCTGGCCATGTAGATTCCTCAGCTTCTCGCCAGACGTCCAACTTTCGGTCAATCGACCCGAAACTCGCTCCCAAACCTCCTATCACGTACTAGGACATGAAATAACACAAACGAGAACAACCTAGCGTGAAATCGACCTAAGATACGAGAAATGAGGCTCAAACGACATAAGAATGGTGGATAAAAACATGTGTATATATCAAGTCATCGCATATTATTAAGTGTGGGCCCTCTGAGCCATAACCGATGGTCTATAGCATCAATGATCTAACAATCAAGCATTGATAATACTCGAGGTATAGATGGTTTGGTCATTCCATCTATACTCGCATAACATCAATGGGGTATCACTAGAGCATAATTTCTTAACAAACTAGATGATACTAAGCACGATGATATAGTATCATACAATGAGAGTCACACACATAAAACAACTAAAGCAAACAAAGACTAAAGCATCGAATGAATAAGCAATCGATGATGCAAGCATTAATTGACTTAAGCATTGATGATAAAAGCGTTGAACACAATAGGCATCTCATTGAATTATAAAAAGTAGTACATAAAGCATTATAGATCCGCATCCCCAAACAATTTCAAGCTAGTTATGCATAGGAGAATAGGAAGACATCTCCAATGATACATGTATCGATGGTGACAAATCTCCTTCGAGCTCCAACAGGGCTTCACCTCCTCTCTATGAATTTCTACCACTATAAATAGAGAGTTAGGCTTATTAGTTCAGTAGTCTACATAATTTAATTCAAAAATACTATAAACACTATGTTCGCGTGAGAGCTTAGCATTCGTAGGAAAGGGAGCCGCTAAGGATATGCCTTCTTTATCGATGGTGGTACCATCCTTCTCTTCTATGTATAGCTAGTTAGATATTGATTGTATGATAATATGAACTCTTTTATCTTTGTATGCGTTGATGATATGATTTCATATTATGCTTGTGTTGATGCTTGTGATTTTCGATGCCCTATGTGCGTGCATTGATGTTTTATTGTCTGATGCCTATGTGTTTGTTATCGATGCTCATTTAGTTCAATTCTTCATTATCATAGATGCTTATGACTCTATAGTATGCTACTATATGCATTGTGCTTAGTATCGTTTGGGTTGTTAAGAAATTATCCTCTAGTGATACCACATTGATGCTACACGAGTATAGAGGGAATGATCAACCATCTATACAGTGGCGGAGGGAGAGGGTAACAGGGTGGGTCTCGGGACCGACACTGGTTCGCGAGAAAATGTTTAAATTAGGTACGATAGTTAATTTATATCAAAACTAGGTCGCGTTTAATTGAGAATAGTTGGTCGGAAATTTTTGTGTTTGAATCTTGGCGACCTCATTTCTTAAGCATACGGTATACAGACTTGTGCAAACATCAATTTCGTATAAGTTGACTTTCTTATAAGGGAGCATGATAGTAAATGGTATAATATATTATTGAAATCTTTCAACAACTCGATTTATTGATACTAAATATTTTTTTAAGAACATAATTCAAAAGCGAACGACTAGGTATATCATGAATTATTGGTTGGTATAAGATTTATTATTAAACCTCTATCAACAACTCGAGGTATTGATACTAACGGTTCTTAACAAAGAACACCATTTGAAACACTACGACTAACTAAATCAATGATTGTTTGTTATAAATGCAAAGTGATATTCTTGATATTTTTTACTGCTAATGCATTTTAATTTATCAAAAGTTTTCAACGTAAGATTATATTAAAAAAACTATTTTATCATTTTTTTCGAGGTGGACCTATCTTAAACGGAATCCTGGCTATGCCACTGCATCTATATCATAAATAGTATCACTGTTTGAATGTTAGATAATTGATGTTATAGACCATCGATTATGGCTA